TTCTTTCCTCTATTTCCTTTTACTTTCCTCTTGTCCCACTATCATGTTCAGCCTTCATTTGGTTTCAGTAATTCCTCTCGGTTACATTTCCCTTGATCAAGCCCTACCAGACCTCCTACACACTCCTCACCATCGATTTTTGGTCACTTATTGTTCCCTTGTCCCTGGCTTTGTTAACACCCACTTCCTCTCCCCCGCCTCCCCCTCTCCCATGTCCCCTGGAACTGTCATCCCATTGTTCTCTCTTCCTGCTTGTTTATCCCGCCTATCCCATCCAGATAGACATGCAGAGTCAACAATATGCACAAACACAAGACGGAGCAAAACAAAGCAACAATAGAAAATAAACAATAGCGACAACAACAACAACAAAGCCAACAAAAAGATTTTTAAAATGTCTATAAATAGTTCAAGGTCTATTTGTTGTCCTTTACGAGTGTTTTCCAGTCAAGTCTGATGGGGCACCACACCCTGACCCCACAGTCTATTGTTGGTGTTCCCGCAGGACTTCATGCTATGCTCCCCTTGCTGCTCTGTTGCACACCCCAGCGTCTCGCTTTGGTATAGCCAGGGGTCAGGGCGGGCACAATTCCCGCTGTGTGTCTCCAGTGTTGTCCCCTGTGGTGCTTTGGGTCAGTGAGGAATGTGGTGTCAAGTAGAAATATTGTCCTCAGGGCTTGGTGGGCCAGGATGTGCTTCACTCATTTTTCCTCCCCCTTCATTTGCTCCTATGTGGTCTGATCAGACACGTCCCTCTCCTTGAGCCTTAGCTTCAGTGCTGTCCTCTGAGATGAATTCTTCTGTTGGAGGGAGGGCTGTCCACTTAGTTGGTAATGGGGCTGGCCCCTCAGGCCTCCCTATTGGCTCATCATGGGACATTTTGTGTCCAGAAAATTGCCTGGCACTCAGCATACTTATATTTTTGTTGGATGGATGGATAAATGATTACATGAAGAATATACCTTTATGTTACCTCCTATAATTTTCTGGATCCCTTATATAACCTTACCCTGAATGGTTTCCCCATGAGACCTATCTCCCTTGCTAGCTTTTTACATACAAAGACTTCCTACAAACCAATAGTATTTGCAGTCATATGAAGAGGCCTGACCCTAAGTATTAAAAAAACATGCTGCTAAAGTTCCTACCTAAGATTTATTCAACTATTCCAAGTCCTTCTATTGCTGAGTGAAGAAGGATGACTTCCTTTGCATATTTATCAGGATAAACTTACCTTGGCCAGCAAAGTATCCAAGTTTGGCCTCAGTTATCCAAGTTATGAAGTTATCCAATTCTGCAAGAATAAGAGTTGACTTAGAGTCAACGGACCAATTCTTATTCAAATTCAAAACCCTTACATGTGTAAGAAAATCTTTTGGTATTATCATCTTTTTTGCAATTAGCTTTCATTGGGCATTTATTGAATTGAATAATAAACTATGGGAATATAGTCTGAACCTAAGATCTCTAAAAACTTTGGTAAATTCTCATGTTATCTCTGTTGGCAACATAGTGAATGGTGGTGAGTACAGTGGCCTTAAGAGAACTGGTTGCTGAATAATCAACTGTATTCACACTATTGGTGAAGCATTCTTTGATGGCTTGGCAGGAGGTCTCTAACCCAACTGTGGTCTTAGTTCTTAATGAGTCCATTCATCCCTTCCCCTTCATTTCTTCATGGTCTAGGTGTTCCAAATGAAGGATGAGAATCAGTTTGATGCTTCTCCCAAATATCAGTCTCAAGGGGATCAATGCTGTTCTGGCTCATATGATTTCTCTGAAGTAGACCAATGCTACAAAGGGAAACACATACTCATATACACTGGTGTATGTGTTATATACATATTCATAT